CGAGTGAGCGTGTTGGGCGGTGGGGCGGGGGGGGGGGGGGGGTCCTGCGCACATCCTGTCCTTCAACACATAACGCACTCACATCTAGATCTGCAAAGGTTAGTCCGAGGCCAGCTGATAGCTTATACTGGTGAGAGAACCTGTCCTGAAATGACACACACTTCATTGAGCTCACACACAACAGTGACCTCCACTGGATCCACTTCGGAATTGATTATGACCTTGGTCCGTGTGGGTATCACACCCTTTTCTGTAAGTAACTACACATCAATGGAGTCATGCAAAAGCATTAGCCCTGCTGCAGCGATGTACGTGGTGTTCACAAAACTCATGTAACAGAAAATGTTCACTGATCACACACAGAAGTGTTGTTTTTATTAAAGTGAGAAGACTGTTTTTCACCCATTCACACAAAGCTCAGTGACTTGTGTTTGCACTTGCATTAAGTTGGGGAACTAGTGAGAGACAGATTAAGAAAACTGTGTCTGAAACGACAGTGTCAAGCCCCCAAACACTGCATACTACATTTCCCATAATGCAAATCAGTAGTGTTTTCTGTTCTGCTCTGCTCTGATCCTCTCTGCCTGGTAAATTCCAACATTGGATAAATGCTACGCCTCACTTTATAATTCAGGCTTTCTGTTAAAATTACTGGAACCAACCTCAAGCTAAGGTAACCCTGATAACATCATAAGAGTTAAGGATGCTTCTACCCTGAATTAGTCCCTTATGCCTGTATTGCTCTTTAATAGTTAAGATGTAGACTATCAAATACAGAGGACAACAAGCTATATTAAAGTATAATCACGGTACTTATTGCATGGTGTATGCATTTAAGAAATATTTAAATGTTCTCCAACAAAAGACTGTAGTTCTTCACGTTTCATAGACACTTTTGTGCCAGTCACATTGTATACAAAGCGTGCTTCTGTGTGTGCCATTGTCACTAATGTGTTATTGTGAGAATAAACAAAGTCAATAGTGCATTGCTGATAGGTATTACTGAAACAGACCATTTCTTGCAATTGGTGCAGGTTAGAACAGTTTATTTCCCCAGACTAATGGCAGAAATGGTCACATCAGACAAATGCATCTGTGTTCCTGAGCCTTAAAAACAGATAGAGACATACAGTAATTCATGCAAAAGTAATGCAGATTAAATGTATGAATGCACTTTAATCTTTTTTTTATCTTTTCAAACTTGTATAGTACCTAGCTATACAAAGCCATTCTTAGCTGCTCAGAGGTATGGATTCATCTGAGATGGTGAGATTACCTGGTTTGGTACTTGTAGCCAGTTTCAACCACAAATTACTTTAAATCTGAAAAATGCGTCCAAGGTCCAAGTGTTTTGTTCAGGCACAGCATGTCAAATATGATGTGTATCCATTATTTACCCTGCCTGCAGAGGTGGCAAAGGTACACACAATCATTACTCAAATGAAGGAAAACACTGGTAATGGTAGAAGTACTGATTCAAACTTTTTTATTGAGTAAAAGTAAAAAAGTACGGGCTCTGAAGTGTACCCAATGTATAAAAGTAACAAGTAACACTTTGAAGGACATTTCTACTGTTTCTGTGCAAGCCTAACTGAACCTCATGTCATATTAATGTATTTCCAAGAGTATTAAACAATTCTAGCTTCAAATTAAATAAAAAATATACCCAAATAACTAAAAATAATTAACATGAACTAACAAGAAGACATCTCCATACAGAGACTAAAACCAATAATAAAGTGCTTCTACTCACTGTTAATGTCTGTAGATGTCAATTGTTGCTCAAAAACATTTAAAATCACATCAGTGAAACACACCGCTGGACTTGGAGACATGTCTTCATTACATGTTGCCCCAAAAATGTCAACTGACCCTAACTTTTTACAGCATCTAAACTGAAGAAAGACTCAACTGCACATGCGTGAGATCCCCATGAAAGCTCAGGGAGCTATCAGAATTTAAACAAAGCAGAGAGTTTGTAACAGAGAAATGTGACCCAGTGCAGAGGTGTACACATTTTGCAGAAAGTTGAAAATCAGATTAATCAATGATTTCCCTCAAATGTATTAGAACAAAAAGTAAAGAGCCTGATTTGAAAATGTAAGGAGTAGAAACTACAGGTATTTGTGTTGTAGTGAGTAAAAGTAAAAAGTTGTCAGAAAAATATGCAAATATTCAAGTGAAGTACAGATGCCTAAAAATATTTATTTAAAGGTAGGGTTGACAGCATTTTTTATTACATATGCTGAATTTCTTTTTCTTTGCATCCTGATGGCAATAAATACATTAAATCCACTGACAACATAAAGAAACAAATCCACCCTCTGTGGCAGCAGCAGGACCAGAAAAAGCCTGACCAATAGTTTTATTCTGCATGAGCAAAACCATAGGATGGCCTCCCTGCCTGTCAGTCTACTTCCTACTTGTGCACACCCTGTCCTTGCACGAGCAGAGAATCTCCCACAAGGCCAGACAGGCAGACATGTTAATGCTCTGTTCTGATAGCTAAAGCTGGCAAGCTATGGCAGTGAAGGTATCCACAGCAGCTTTCTTTTGCAAGCTGAGACCATTGTTACAGGCCAAGCCGTCCCCTTTAAAACATATAGTCTTATAGGTAATGTTGCTGTTGCTACCTGTATGCAGTGTGCACAGTATGAGAGTCAGAAATCCGCTGCACGAAACAGACTCTTTTTACATATAGCCAGGCAGTAGTCTGCTCTAGGTCTATAGAAATGATTGTAATGCAGTTAACTGGGCATCAAAGACCACATACAGTGTTCATGTTACCGAATAAAGCCTGCATTTTGAACAGTGTTAGCTGGCCTCCCACTTCAGCTCCCTCACACCGGAAAAGCCTGGACTTCTAAAGTTAGTTGCTGGCTATGAGCCATGGTTAAAGCAGTCTAGCCATGAATCAGAGATCTCCAACTACAGTTCAGTGCTGCCGATCTGGGCAGGTAAACTAAAGCTAAAAAGAAGCTGGATGCTGCACAAAGTAAAACCAGAATTAACATCGGTGTGACCTTTGAACAATGGCGAAAACTGAGAACAAAATTGGGCTGAAAAGTGATGCCATGGTGACCGTATTTCTTCTGGACAGGCAATTATAGGTTTTGTTTTGTTTGGGGGATATTTGTTATTTTCCTGACATCTGTAAGTAGTAGTCAGGCAGTGCGCATTGCAGTGTGAGTTATGTTTTGGGGGAGAGGGCTTGGAGGGGAGTCAAAAGGAAAGGGTGGGATTTCATCGGTTCTCTACTTTCAAAGTCGAGCTCCCTGTTGCTGGTTTTTCCAGGATTGCCAACCCCACCTTTATGTACAGTAATGAAGTATTTGTACTTTGTTACTTCCTATCACTGCTTACCTGTTATTGCAGTACTAGTGAACATCCCCTGGGATGTTAATATTTTGAACTAGTATTTTTAATGTTGTTGCTTGTATGCAGATCACAACTTGTAGACAAATGCTCTTGGCTGGAGGAAAAGTAAGGTTAGATAAAAGTAAAGCTGAAAAATTAAAGATTTTTGTAAATTTTATGAAGGGAAAATGCTAAACTGTCAGAACATATTTGTGATAAAGCACAGTTAATTTATTCAACTTATTCTGAAGAGACTATATTACCTCCACGGTGCTTTACTGTGTTAATAATTTACTCACATTGTTCTATTCTGCTCCCAACATTACATGAAAGTTAGGAATGTTTAATATGTAAGTCTCAGCTGAGAGCAAAACCTCCATCATGTAATTTCTTTAGAACCTGTTGATTGTCAGCTGGCTGCTAGCTAATCCCTTCCTCCCAACAGTGAATATTTAGTAGCTGTAACCAGGCACAGCAGGTCAAGTTTTGGATTTCTCACCATGCTAAAGTGGCCCAAGAGAGGAAACAAAGAACTGTCCTTTGTGAAGTTGTCCAACAGTCTGCTCTGGTCTTTTACCACACAATTGCTCATTCTAACCCATCAGTTTATCTCTTATCTCTGGAATTTCCCTGATTTCTTCATTGCAATTGCTCAACTTATCCCATAAGTGTTTTGATCTGTAATTAAGATACACCTGATGAGACTTTTTATTTAGAAGTAGGTGAAACCACTTGACCTACAGACCTCGGGGAACTACTCAATAGCAGCCCACAATCCAAATATGAAAGGGAGATGTTTTCTAGCCGTTCTGGGCTTTTATATCAGCCTAGGCCAGACAAAACAGCAGCAGCTCTCATACCTGACCTTCATCTGAGATTATTAGGACAAAACAATCACCCCACAGCTGAAGGTTAGATTTCACTTTCACAGGTCAAAGGAGCCGTGAATGAGCTGTCAGATCTTTAGACCATATGCACTTTTGTCAGAGTATTTCACATTATATTTACATGACTTGAAAATGTAAATTGTTTTCATCACATTTGCAAAACCTGTATGTGTGCACAGTGCAATCCTCTTTCAGTCTTACTCCCGTATTGTACTGATGAGCGATACTGATTAAACCAGTTTGGCGTCACTTTACTGCAAACATTGAGCATCAGGAACAGCACCAGGGCTCAGTCATACATTCTAAGAGATGCATAATTCACTAACATTGTAGAAGTTTGAAATGCTCTATTTTCCCTTCATTTCTGTAATTTAGCTTCAGTCAAAAGTTATGACTGTGATGGGCAAGGGGGTAACCCTAATGATTAACCTAATGATTAGAGCAACATTATGTAAGTTATTTTATGCTCCAAAGTATTTATGAATGTGAAAACATGTTCTCAAAGGTTTCTGTAGCCCTGCATATTACAGAGATACAGGGTGGTGAAGAGTGGGGTGGTATTTCAGAA